CTCCTGTTGCCCGTCTCTGTCCGTTCCTTCCAGACTCACTGCTGGCTGATCCACTGGACACCAAGCCTGGGGGGTCTTGGGTGAGAGCCAAACACGAGCTACCTGGAATTTGGGGTTCTGCTGGAGCTTTAAGGCAATGCCTCGTATTTGGGCTAAAAACAATTGCGCCCTTTCCAACCACCTGGCGAGGCCTCAGTCCCCCATCGGTGACCCGGGGAAGCCCACACCCACCCCACTCACCCAAGCTGAGGAGCAACAACGGGCGCCTGCGTTTGGAGCGGGTCGAGGATGCGGATCACGCGGGCGTGCTTTCCAGCCCAGTCGCCCCAATGCCAGGCCTTCACTGGCTCTGACGGGGCCCCGAGTGCCACTGGCGATGCTTGGCTTCCTGCCCACCCCTGGGGGATAGGCAGGGGAAGAGCCTCCAGGTGGATCGATGCAGGGGCGGTGAACACCCTATCACACAGCCCGCCTTTCCCAGGGAGAAGACCCCCGACAGAGCCCGACGCCCTGAAGTGCGGATCAGAACCATCAGATGGAGCAGACGCGGAACTCTCAGGTCAGATCCTGAAGCTCTCCCAGCGCGCTGTCGGCGTCGGCTCTCGCCCTTTCTCCCTCTCTCTGTCTCTGTCTCTTTCTCTCTCTCTACACACACACGCACACATAGACACAGGCACGCATATACGGGCACACGCACACACGCACACATAGACACAGGCACGCACGCACACACGCACACATAGACACAGGCACGCGCGCACACACGCACACATAGACACACGCACGCGCACACACACGCACACATAGACAGAGGCACGCATATACGGGCACACGCACACACGCACACATAGGCATGCACGCACACACGCACACATAGACACAGGCACGCACGCACACACGCACACATAGACACGCACGCGCACACACACGCACACATAGACAGAGGCACGCACACACGGGCAGGCACGCACACGGGCACACACGCACACATAGACACAGGCACGCACACACACA